ATCTGGGGTTTTCTTGGCAAAGACACTAGAGTGGTCCTCCATTTCCTTCTCCAGCTTATTTTATAGATGAGGAAACTGAGGCAAATGGGGTTAAGTGACTTGCCCAGGATCACACAGCTACTAAGTGTCTGAGGCAGAATTTGAAGTCAGGAAGATGAGTCTTCCTGCCTCCACGCCTGGCATGCTATCTGCTATGTTACTTAGCTGCTTGATTCTCTAGGTAAAGGACCTAAATTCATAATCCTGACTCTGACACTGAGTATTTGACCTTGGGCAAGTCACAGAACCTTTATGTTGTCTCATCCAGAAAATGAAGAGGTTGGACTACATGGCTTCAGAGTTCCTTTCTAGCTAGAAAGCCAAGATCCTAGAGGGAATCATTTCACACCTAACAGTGTGGGCCCAAGGGGATTTGGTTGCCTTCTTTCACTAAAGGGCCCCAGCTCTGAGCTAACTTGGGCTGAATTCAGCCCTGGGGAATCTGACCTTGAAAGAAAGAGAGTGGGTCAGCTAGGTGGTGCTTGAGGACCTGAATTCAAATCTGGCCTCAGACACATAACACTTACTAGCTGTGTGATCCTGGGCAAGTCACTTAACCCCATTGCCTAGCCAAAAAAAAAAAAAAAAAGAGGTTAAGACTCCTTACATTCTCTGGTTCTATATACCCCCACACCAGAATACCAGGAAAAAGCAAAGAAAGCTCAGATTGATTCCTTAAGTCTTCCTAAAGGAGGAGATAGGCATTCACAGTACAATGTAGATTAGGTATTGGAAGGCTATGTATCTCTGCAAACAAAAGAAATGCTTAAAAGACAAAAAAAAAGAGCAATCACTGTTACTTTAGGCTTGGCAGAATCTGCTTCTCTTGATTCCTTCAGAAACTTAGCTCCGAGGTCTGTTACTTCCAAGCAGAATTTGAAAGAGATCTTGCTTTTACTGTTCTGACAATCCTTTTTGGCTTTAGAATTATCAATCCCAATTCAGTTAGTTACACTTCCCATACTCTTTTGGGGTTCTTGTGCAGATGAGTGGCCAAGAGCAATGGCATGAATACGTTGTGTGTCCTAGAGGCAAGTTCATTGTCTAGCTAGCCTCTTCAGATGCAATTTAGCTATTAAAACCTCAGACATTTTCTAGGGTTTATTTTGTATCTGAAAGCTTTTACATTTCAAAGTGTCTGCTTTTTAGCCCCAATAGATTTCCAAAGATTTGAGCAAAGAGTTTTTTTGAATTGCATAGCATTAATAATTCTATGAAAATTTGGTTCTAGTCACTAATAATATGTGAAATGTACATCAAAATAACCTTGAAGGTTCATTAACATCCAGCAAAATGACAAAGATGACAAAAAGCATGCAATATTGGTGGATCTGAGAACTGGGTCTAACCAGTTGGGAAAGAAATTTGGAATTCTGCTTTTAAAAAGTGACCAAAATGTCCCTGTCCTATGGCCCATAGATACAGATAAGATATATGGGTTGCTTGAGATGTATGTGAGAAATTGTGAGAAAACTCTTTGCCTCCATCTTTGGATCTGACTGGGTTTCTGGTCAGCACAACCTAGGTCCTTATTTAAGCATCTCTAAGCAGCAGGTAGAGGTGGCCAAGTTTCCCAGCCACACATGGCTAAGTTCAAACAATGCAATAAAATTTTCTCACAGTTTCCACAATAGAATAAATTTTTCTCACAAGACGGAATTTGAGTACAAAGAAAAGTAAACTAGCTCCAAAATTGAGTCACAAGATGGAGTCAGTGTGGTTCACTCAATTGCCTTAATTCCCACTATCACTTGCTCCATTCCTCCCAATTCCCTCAAGTCTCCCCCTTTTGATTTATGAGGGAATGGAAAGCATACTCCCTGCCTTCCCCCAATGGATTACTTATCTATAAGCCAAATCCATAGGGTTTTTCCCCAGATATTCATAATTATAAGTTAGGTTACAAATCAAACTACTTAGAGGGCTCATAGAGACCTAATTTTGAGAAGGGAGATTTTTATGTCATCAAGGTAACTAAGAAAACTTAAGCATTAACACCATGAAACAAAAGGCCAAAACAATATAATGAGCTTCAATATTAATTAACATCAAGTCACTCTGTATCCTAGTAACCCACTTCTAATATCTATTTAATCAGCCCATTTTGAGTCGAGTCCCAGATGTCCCATGTGCTCATCTGGTCCCTGTATCTTTTCCCTACATTCTGGAATAGGCTTCATTCTCAGGGCAGCTCTGAAGGGGGTTCAACTTCTCTGGATCCAAATAACTTGTAGATGTTTCTAGATAATTCTGATAAAATCTGCTAATAACAACACTTCACATAGTGGCATCAGTGGCTAGATATTCATCAGGATGACTGGAGATGGTCCAGAATACATATGTATAATTCCTGGAGAAAGTAGTTTAATCCTATTCCTTTCTCAAAATTTAGTATTCCATTTAATCAGAAAACTTTTACTTTACGTCTTTGCTTTGTTACTTTGTCTAATCCCTCCTTTTGGAGGATGTCATACCTATATTACACGTTAACTACCAATGTAGATTAAAATTATAAGTTTTTTATACTTGAATGCTATTATAATAACTCAGTGATGTCCAGTATCAATCTATTAGTTAATAAATTTAGTATTGTACTTTTGTGTAGTTTCATGAAAGTCACAGGCTATCAAAAGCTAGGTTCAGGATTAACCAGGTGGGGAAATTTCCTGTTCAGAAAGGACATAGCACAATGGGGAAACTGAGTCAAGAAGATCCTTCCTTAGGCCATGCACAGCTCATCCCCTCTACTATTCCCAGGGACAGACATACTTGTTCTCAGACTGCAGCACATGCCATTTTCTGCTTTTGGCTCCATGACAATTCAGACAAATATCCCTGTAATGAAAACTCAAAACAATATCAAGTCATGGTCCCAAGAGTTTTTACCTCAAATACTAAAGTTTCACTAATCATATGTTAGGGTCTAAATATTATTAATTTCTTTATGTTTCATTAGCAGGTATGTTCCATTTATCTTTTACTTATAAATTAAGACTAAATCCATTCTGGGATTTCAGACCCATAGCAAACACCTGATAGTTCTCAAATTGACATATTAAAGTTGCATTTTAAGCCATCCTATACATTTTCATAATTTTTATAAGTGAAAGCCAAAAATTTTCAAATGAAAATGCATTCTTTATTATTGTAAACATTATTATCATTATCTGTGTTAAAACAGAATATACTCCTTCAAATATTTAAGTTTTCAAATATCTGTTTCTAATCACATTCTTTTGAAAGCTTAATTCATAATCTAACATCATCCAGACAAAAAAAGTTGTATATATACAAACACACATACACACACACATACACACATATACAGTGTGTTTATGTATATATATATACACACATATGTATATACATGTGCATATATATGTATATATGTATATATATGTGTGTATTAAGCCCAAGACAAAAAGAAAGGTCCCATAGCCATCAAAATATTCCTAGCAGTGCATTTTCATATATCAAAGAAATGGAAACAATAGCTATCATTTATATAAAGCTTTAAGGTTTGCAAAATGCTTTACATACATTATTTCATTTGATCTTCATGACAAGGTGGATGCTGTAAGCATCTCCATTTTACAAATGGGGAAACTAAAGCCATGAGAGGTTAAGAGATCAGCAGGGATGGGCAACAGTGTCATCTGTGAGGTTTTCCATTCTTCTAGAATCTTCCCATCTCTTTGATACCTTGGAAACAGATTCCTTCAGTGCCTTTACAACAGCATTGCCTCCTACACTGATTTCTTATGCCTACATTTAGTCAAATCCAGCTGTTTTTTCCAACTTCATTTTCTTAAGTGCCATTTCTAATTCCTCACATGGCATAGGTGGTGGTCCAAAACACTGTTTCTGCTCTCATCAATATGAGAGTAGATTGCTACAGAATTACCCACAAGACTTGTTCCATGATTTGCAATTAACAAACAATAAACACAACAGGATCTTGTATTCTTTCTACCTCTCAATCAATTTTATGACTATGAAGATGGGATCTGCCGTATAAAATTGTCTTCAAATGTCTGCTTGTTAACTTCCCAACATAAATATTTGTATGCTTTGCAGGTGTTTGTCAGTATAAATCTCCCTAATGTCTACTAACCAGATGCATTGTTTAATCAGGTCTGCAAAGAACAAAAAAAATACAACAGTTGGTATTTATCTAGAGTAGATGTCTTAGAATGGATGCCTTAAAATGAACGTTTGTTTGGATTGGACTTTCTGTGTTGCCCAAGTTCAATGGATAATATTTCATCCCCCCCCCCCTTGCTTTGAGCTATGTGTGTGAATATGAGCTAACTGAAGGGGTGTGTTTAGATTTATGTGATCCATCTCTGTGATTGTATGTGAGTTTGGGCAGACTCAGCTGTTCAGTCAGTTGGATTCCTTATGGCCTATCTCTGTGGATGAACCATTGTAATGTAGGCACTTCAGACCTGCTGTTAATAAGATGTAAATAAAACTTCTAACATATCAAACTGACCAGATGTTTCAAATATGAGCTAAATTTGCTGTAGTGACAGATGCCCAGGCTTTTTCTGACCCAACATAGTGTCAGGTTATTTAGAATAGCTGTCATCCCAACCCCATCTCTTGCTATTGAAATCTTACTGATTTTGAGACCTAGTTCAGATACCTGCAGCTCCATGAAGAAATGCCTGACTTCCTTCTTCTGTCTTTTCAGAGCACATTACTTGTATGAACCACTTTCTTATACATTTACCATGTTACCATTTTGTATGATGGTTACTTATTGATGTATCTCATATCTCCTCCTTTGTCTAATTCATTTTTCTGTTGCATTTGCATCGTTGTCTAGTGTAGTATCTTACAAATATTAGGTCAGCAGTAAAGATTTTATTCAATAGATAAGAAATCCTCAAATTTTAGTTTTTTATTTCATTCTATTCACCATTTTTTTGGTCTTAACAGGTACTGTTTGAGGACAGATGACTGGCAAGAATTCCAACTTCTGTGACAGAATTCTTTATTTTAGGGTTAACAGATGACCCAATCCTTTGTGTCTTCTTCTTTGTGGTATTTCTCGGGATCTATATTGTCATGTTACTTGGCAATCTCAGTATCATAATAGTGATACAAAAGAGCTCCCAGCTTCACACTCCAATGTACCTTTTCCTCAGCCACTTGGCTTTTGTGGATATTGGGCTTTCCTCATCTGTCACACCTCTCATGCTCATGAACTTCCTTGGGGACATAATCTCAATCCCTTTGCAAGGCTGTGTGGTCCAACTTTGTTCTCTAGTTGGCTTTGGGACAGCTGAGTGCTTTCTGCTGGCTGTGATGGCCTATGATCGGTATGCGGCCATCTGTAGCCCCCTACTCTACTCCACTCACATGTCCACCAGGGTCTGTAGTCTGTTACTCATCACATCCTACCTGGGTGGTTTTGTGAATGCTTGGACCTTTGCTGGTTGTTTCCTGAATTTGTCTTTTTGTGGACTCAATAAAATCAATCACTTCTTCTGTGACTACCCACCTTTGCTGAAACTTTCTTGTTCCCATGTTCCACTTGTTGAAATTCTTCCTTCTTTCTCTTCAGGATCAATAATTGTCATAGCTGTTTTAATCATAACTATCTCTTATGCATACATCCTCTTCTCAGTCCTGAAGATACGGTCCATTGAGGGGAGATCCAAAGCTTTCTCTACATGTACCTCCCACCTTACTGCTGTTACATTGTACTTTGGGACCATTGCATTCATTTATGTGATGCCCAAGTCAATATATTCAACAGATCAGAACAAAGTGGTGTCTCTTTTCTACAGTGCAATGATTCCCATGTTGAACCCCCTCATCTATAGTTTGAGGAACAAGGAAGTGAAGGGGGCCATGAAAAAATTAGTAGGCATAAAACATTTATTTTTATAAATTCAATTCAATTCACCATTAAGCATCTCCATAATTCAGGGTAGTATGTTAATACTAAAAAGGCAAAAACGATAATAGGCCCTGGCCATGAACAGCTTACATTCTATTGTAATAGTGAGGTCTGAGCAGCACCAATAAATGAGCTTGAAAATTTTTATATAGTCATCGTTATCGAATTAAATTGGTGGTTTTAAATGTGCTGAGAACAAAAGCCAATGAATCTGATATTGTTTGATCTGATTGGTAGTCTGAAGGAAATCCAGGTTTTTGTCATCGATTTGAATGATGATGTGGTTATCACATTCCTGTATGTTGAACCTTCTGTATTTCAAGTGCTTTCTGCCTCTAGTTTCCAGTGGGAGGCACTATTAAGCTGAAGAACCTGGAAATGAAGCAGTGGTAGGATCACAGAGCCTCAGAGTGTGAAGACGCTTCCAAAGCCATTTAGTCCAGTCTATGTCTGTTAAATGATTTCTTCTATGACATTTCCAACAGCAGTCATAATAGTCTTCCCTCAAAGACATTTAGAAAAGTGGAGCTCACTATCTCCTTCGGTACCACACTCCCTTTTTGGGTAATTTTAATTGGTAGGAATTTTTTCCTTACATACATTTAAAATATTTTTTTTTCTCAAAACTTGGCCAGTTGTCCCAGTTCTTCTCTATGGGACTAAGCAGAACAAATTTAATAGCTTTTAGTTGGATTTAGACCTAGTTGACAGGACCAAAGAGGGATCATTCATGGGGTCAATGTCAACATGGAGGAAGGCTTCTAGTAAAGAGTTCTAGGGATCTATCATTGGACCTGAGGATTTTCAATGTTTTTGTTAATTACATTGATGAAGGCATAGATATTATGCTGATCGAATTGAAAGATGACATGAATATGGGGAGAATATTTAGCACCGTGTATGACCAAATCTGAGCACAAAAATAATTAGATATGCCAAGGTAACATTTGATCTGGACATGTGATTAAGTTAGTGTATAGGGTTTTCTAGATAAGGAAAGGGCTCTACCTATGCAGATCTGTGACTATTTGCCAATATATGGCCTTAGAGAACTATTTGGAGGTAGTAAAAAGTTAATTAATATGCCCAAGGTCAAACAGATATTTTATGTCCAATGCAGAACTTAATCCCATACCTTCCTGACTACTCTCTGTGGTTCAGTTTCCTTCAATTTAAAATGAGGGGGTTGGACTTGATGACTTACAGGAATCCTTCCAACTCTACTATCATATCGACTCCTAACTAAATTTCAGTGACTGTAGCAGCCCCAACATGTATAGGTAGGTTTAGATTTACCTCCTTGGTGCTTCCTTGGGATTGAGTTTCTGTGGCGAGGGCTGCCTGCGAGATGAATTGGTTGTTTCATATTTTTGGAAGAATGAACTCTGATTGGAGGAGCCACTCCCTGAGATAACCTATTGAAAGCAATAATAATAATAGCTAACATTTATATAGTACTTTAAGATTTTGCAAAGTGCTTTATAGATATCTCATTTGATCCTCCCAACCTGTTTGAGTCAGGTGTTATTATTATTGTTTTAATTTTACAGATGAGGAAACAGAGGGTGAAAGAGGTTAAGTGATCTTATAGACTTTCCAGATATGCTACTTTCCCCCATGCCTAATAGATCCTAATAGTATAGAAGATATGTGCAGAGGATGAGGTATTCCTCCTCCAACCTCTAGGACCAACTAATGGCTACCTTTCAGAAGACTCACATGGAAATTCGCCATATATTTAAGTACTTTCATTCATTTTTTATTTTATCCCATATGTACTTTATATGTACATGTTGTCTCCCCCAATAAAAAGAAACTTTCTTTTGAGTAGGGATTATTTCCTTTTTGTGTGTGTGTGTTTGTAGCCTCAGTACCTAGCACATAGTAAATTCTTACTATAGTACCTGTGTGCAACTGGGTGGTGCAGTGGATAGAGTGTTGCATCTGGAGTCGAGAAGACTTATCTTCCTGAGTTCAAATCAAGCCCAGACACTTACTAGCTATGTGACCTTGGGCCAGTTACTTAACCCTGTTTGCCTCAATTTCCTCATCTGTAAAATGAGCTGGAGAAAGAAATGGCAAACCACTCCAGTATCTCTGCTAGGAAAACCCCAAATGGAGTCATAGAATCTGAAATGACTGAACAACAGCAAGTATCATTGATTTGTTGGTTGATTGGTATGTTTAACTAGGTGGCTTTTGAAGGAAATTTCTAGACCTCAAGATCTTTTACACCTTCTACATTTTCTCACTTTCTAAGCACAGAGACCAAAGACTTGAGACTATACTTTCTAGCCCCATGTGTTGGTAGAATTCATTGCAGTGGTGAAGTATCCTAGAGAAGCACATGGGAGCTACATATTCTCATTCACATTTTTTGACCGGGTTAATTTTGGACAATGTCAGTAGATTATCTTCTCTTTAGAGAAGGAAGATTTCTTGGGTAGCACTTACATCTAGGTTTGTTTCATGAATAACCTCAAATGAAGAAGAATTTCCTGAGCTGTGTACCTTTGGAGAAAGAAGAGGATCATACCCACTGTTGAAGGAAATGCGAGAAGCGGCAGCAAGGGAATAGAATAATGACGTGGAGAGAGGAGAGGGAGGAAGAAGGTAAGACCTTATCACTCCATGACCATATCTGCTATTACCATGAAATACATGGACCGTGCATTTCTGATGAGATGCCTTGGTAGCAACCAAAATGGTTTCCTCCCACAGTGAATCTAAGGCCTCAGAAGATCTCTTTGTCGTATAAAAGGTACTCACAGAAGGACTGGTATGTTTTCTGTCTAGCAATCCTAAATTGTATTTCCCTTGCTAGGGGAGTTCCCCCATTGGGACAATAAAAATAGGTAGCAGGGAAACTGGTAAGAGCTTTAGATATGGAATAAAATTGTGGTGATTGCTTATGGACTATTGTGAGGCCCTATATGTTCATTTTTAAAATTTTAATTTTTATGTGGGCTGATATGAAAGCTATCCCATACCCAATATGTATTTGTTACTTTAAATGCTTGTACAGCATCTGGGGAACCTATTGCCTCCATTTGTGGAAACCGATCCATGAACTATCCGTAGGCTATATTCAGAGACTTCTCAGAGTAAACTGCCTGGAGGCAATAATAAGTAAAATAGAATATGACATGTTTGTGAGAGGCTCCACTAGATCAGACTTAGTCTATATGAGTGTAGAGCTTTGGGGGCTGTAGACTTTGGGTTACAACAGTAAAACAAACCATCTTTAATTAATTAATTTATTGTTTTCAACTTTTTTTTTTGCTTTTTTGTTAAGTGACTTGCCCAGGGTCACACAGCTAGTAAGTGTCATGTGTTTGAGACTGGATTTGAACTCAACATTCACTTTTATAAGATTTTGAGTTCAAAAAATTTCCCCTTTTTTCCCCTCCTCCCTCGCCAAGACGGCATGCAGTCTGATATAAGCTATACATGTACAATCGTATTAAACATATTTCCATATTGATCAAAACATAACTTTTTGAAACCAAAACCCAACATCTGATTCTCACTAAAAAGAGGTGTAAAATAAGGTCATGCTCAAATATTCACCACTGTTCTTTGACATTCTAGTAATTATAATAAGAGAGGGAAATGGCCAATATAGTAGATATGGTAATGTTCCTCCAGTTCATTTCACATTTCCTTCAATTGTGAATTACCCCTCCCCCATTCTTAGAAGGGGTCTTTTGGCTTTTCCAGATTTGCAAAGGGGTCTGCAACACAAAAAGATTTAGAATCCCTCCTTTAAAGACTTGTGAAACACTTGCCTGCCCTCGTAGAAAGGTGTTTCTTATAGCAGCTTAAGGAAATTATGTCTGGAGTAGTTGCTTGAGGTGCTATACCTGGGTGAGCCACCAGATGGTGCTCGAAGCTTGAGTTGCAATTGATCACAATGACACACAAGTAAACCCTCTAATCATCTTTAGCCTTGAGAAGCCAGCTTCCTCACTCCATACTCTCAGTGCTAACAGCCATCTCTAAGCCCTTCCCGATATTTATATTTCTGTACTGTTTTGTTAGGTTCCTATCTAGATATCTCAGTATTTCAAATAACATACCTTGCTTGCCTTGAGCCTGCATGCATTAGATCCCTTATCTTGCTTTCTTTCTCAGCTTGACTCTGTCTCTTCAATTGGTATTTAAATTAAATTAATTTGTATTTGCACTGAAAGAAAAATTCAAAAGTAACAGTGAGGTGCAAAGCAATTGTGAACATATCTGTTTCAGCTTCTTTTACTCTCTTCGGTGGCATGGCTCATTGATCTCCTGGGGGAAAGGGAAGGCTTACAAACCTAGAAGTCTTTGTAGGGAAGCCCTTTTAAACTCGTCTGTTTCAGAGTCCCAGAGGACAAGAGAAAATCATCTCACCAAATTCTAGCACTTTATGTTTCCTTCCAAGAACAGGAAATGAATGATCTTCCACTATTGGGTAACTGGTGACCCATAGCAGTTAGGTATGTCTTATGTACATTGTCTTATGCCAAATCTATGTGTCATGTGTGATAACTACTCATATCTCATGAAAATTTTATAAGGAGCCTTGAAAAAATTGTCAATGCTGCTTTCACATACGGGTAGTTCTCTTCAATTAGAATAGTACTTTTGTCCCAGGATCTGCAGTTTCTTCTAGGCTGAGTTTCGTAGAAGTGTGTATATGTGTGAATAGAATGGGCTCTAGCCTGAACAAAATGGATCTGTTGAGATAACCAGGACCAATTTTCATGTCGTGACCATGATTGCTACATGTTGACCCCAGAACAATTGTTAAGAGCTTCCATGGTAGATCATACTTACTAGTTTGGCTATGTTGCTATCCAATCTTGTGCTTCATTTTCTAAAATCCTGGATAAACATAGACAAAGGAAAAATAAAGGAAGGCCCCTGAGAATTTTGAGAACTTCTCAGACAATTTGCCTCTGTGTTTGTAATTTCCTAAATCTCAGTGGATTTCAAATGGCATTTTAATGAC